ATCGCCTCCCTGCGGGGCCTCTGCACCCCGGGCACGGCACGAGGGCTCCTGCCGATGCACTGCTCCGGCCTATTGATTTAAATGCAAATAGTAATAGAATAGAAAGTATTTCGTCCTCCTCCGGCAACGGGCGCGTGTCGCCTTATTTCTTCCCAAACGCAGTGCTCAAATTAATTTTGGGGCATGCTGCTTTTTCCGCATCATTACAAACGGTTTTACAGGCTTCATCCAGCCCCGCATCCAGGGGAGGGGTCGGGTCACTTCTATTCCTGGCGCTCCCGAAAACCTCTGCGCCCTGCAGCTGGGATGGGGCTCTTTCCTTAGCTAATTTCATCATTTCCTATTAATTTGATTGCTTGCTGTGGATTTCTTCTTGCTGCCTTTGTTTTGCTACTGCACCTGGAGAGATTTTTAGCCGCAGTGTTTTCTTCCTTGCTCGGGGAACGGGCTGCTCACCCGTGCAGTAAGTGCTACTTGGAGAGTCTCCCCTTCTTTCATGTTCCCCTCTGGGTTTTCCTCCCAGCCGGCCTCTCCCAGAGCCCTCCAGCATTTGGGAAGGTGGCCCTGGGGAGCTCCCCTGCCCAGTATTGGCTGGGGCTCTTCCCTTGTTCCCCATACCGAACGGCATCTGGCCACAACATCTACTCTTTGGGTAGCATCTGCTTTTCGACATGAGGGTTGATTCCTCCCTGCCCCTTGCAGCATGAAGGGGATGAGCTGCTGGTGGGTGCGAATAGCTCTCCTGCGAAGAGGGCCAGCATTGGTGAATTTGGCAGAGCTGGCGCTGTTCTGCCACCGGCACGCCGCCCGGGACCGCAGCTCGCGTCGGCAAGATGCTGGAGCAGCCCCTCATCCCGCCGGGCTCAGCGGCTCCTCTGCGCCCGGCACCCTCCTCGCCCTGCCCAGGCTTTACCCCCGGGGCAGCAAATACATCCCGGAGACTCCAGCGTTGGTGCTGCCTCTTTTCCCCGCTGTCTCCTGTCTCAGGAGGGAAGAAGGAGCAATTTTGCACTGGTCTCTGAATCCCGCCCTCAGCTGCGGCAGAGCCGCTCATGGTGCTTCTGGTGATCAGCACGGGCCCGCAGCACCCCTGCTCGCCGCCCAGCGCCGCTCGCGACTGACCGCGCAAGCCTCCCCTCCT